CCGATGTGCTGTGCCAAAGGAGTCCATTTGATTTTATTGCCAAGAGAAGGGACATTGGAGACGAAGCTGCCCTAACTACCTGAGAAATCTAAGAAATGGGAGAGTCAAGATGCATGGCTCTACTTCAGGTAAAATCCATTAACTAACTCTTTTAAGTTCCTATTCTAGATTCTTAATACATGATGTAATAAGATTACATTTTGATGTTTAAGGTGTTGGTGCCAAAAAGAAGGAGCAATGGAAATGAATGCTTGAGGAGTCGACTTTGTGACAGGGTAAAGGTCACTGGAGCTGTCACATCACATGAGAATGCATTAGTCTGAAAATACTTCACAAAAAAACCAGAATGACCAAATTCAAAAGAAGCCATATTGTCACAAGTAAATCGACGAACATAAATAAGATTTTTTATGATTTGTGGAGTAATTAAGACATTTTTAAGAGTCAAAGTATGATATGGATTAGGTAGTAAAAGAGTGGTGTGACCTTGATCGGTCACATGAATCAAGGATCTGTCTCCAACTAAAATCGATGAAGATAAATTTTTGCTTTTATCTAAAACATACGAGAGTAAACCCATATTTGAGTGAAGATGAGAAGTGGCTCCGGTGTCCATGTACCAATTTGCATGCCTAGGGTCATTTAGCGACATAATATTGAGCATTTGCAGGAGCGTAGTGGGCTGCTCAGAGGATACCGAAGTCTAATGGGCTACATTTAAGGCTTGTGGAGGCTGTTGGACTGTACTAAAGGCCTACTGAGTGAATGATCTTTGTGATGGAGAACCAAAAAGAACCGGTGCGAGTTCTATTGGGTTGGAGACTGCCTTGGTCCAACGGACTGTTGGGAAGCTGCAAATTGGGCTAGAGTGTAACACCCGCACATTCGGGCTAGTCAATTTAGAGACAATAAGTGTCGAAAACGACTTTTTGATAGAAGGTTATTTAGAATGAATAATCTTAATAAAAGTCGTAGCATATGTGACAAGGGTTCCGTACATATAAAGAACACCGAAATCCGAGTTATGACGAAGAAGTTATGACTCGTCGAAGTTTCGCGGCAAACCGGCACAACACTGCGTGACGTAAATAGTGAATTTACGATAGAGTGCTTTTTAGCCTTAGCGATTTAAATGAAAGTCGTAGAATATGTTAAACCGAGATCGTGCATAAAAAGAACGCCCAAATCTGACTTCGTATGAGGAAGTTATGATTTTTCTAAGTTTCGGCTTAGCAGTACACAACCCGGAGTTCGAATATTAGATCGAGCGTTGTTTATCTGCCACAACCTAAACAAGAATCGAAGATCTCGTTAATAGTAGCGTAACGATAAAAAGACAGACAAAAACGGACGTCAGATGAAGAAGTTATGAATTTTTAATGGACTATTCCTGTCCCGTCCTGTTAAATATATAACTTTAAAAATAAAGTTAGCCGACGGAGTCTAAACGAAAGTTGTAGAGTACGATCCCGCCTACGCGAGGATATAAAGAACGTTGAAAACAGAGTTCGTATGCGAGAGTTATGAATTTTTGAAATCGGGATTCAGATTTGCGAGGTTGATGACGTGGCCGAATCATGCCCACTGCTTGCTCCCCACGATCTCGCACGAGATGCTGACACGTATCGCTTCAGACGCCCAGCGTTTGCATCAGACGCCCAGCATACGAGTACGCCCCGCGTACGATCCCGGTACACCCAACGATCTCGCCTTCCTCGGTCCACAAGCAGCCACGTAGCCTCACCAAACTTCGGACGCGTGTTATACGATTGCTCACTACGCGCAACTTACTTAGGAACTACGCCCAGCTTAGTGCGAGGCCTCGCGCCTATAAATAGGTTGCAAGGCAGCCTCCATTTTTCACACCTCCCACTTCTACTTTCTCTCTCTACTCTCTCTAGACTATCCCAACCCCCCCCCCCCACCCCCTCCCCAAAGCCTAGGGTACCCCTAGCACTAGAAGGAAGCTCCGTGGCGCCCGACGGCTCCGAGAAAAAGAGCTTTTTAGCTTGGAAACGCTGCTCCAGCGAAGCCCGTTTTTTAATAAAAAACTGCAGTAAGTGAGGTACGCCTACCATACTTTAAATATAGCTTATATATAAATATAATATCGTTATTATGAATCTATAAATAAGATTTATCAGTGATTCAAATTCGTTATACTGATTGAACTACTTACGGGAGAGATGTCTAGAATGGTCACGTTGGGTTTGATTGTTGGATTTCAGAAAAGCTATATGCTGAAATGGTCCTGCCTCCCAACTGTCCTGCCTAGTTGATCCTTACTTGATAGATCATGAAGTAGACTTTGAGTTAATGATGAATCTAGACTAATAACTAGTCGCAATAAATATTAGACTAAAACTTAGCGATAATAATGCTAGGTTTCGTCAAAGGAAAATAGAATCGTTAGAAGCGAAGCGCTGC